CTTTTTAAATGTCATGCTCATATGCTGGTCGCTTTCATGGTCAATGAGATAATCGCCGAAATTTTGGACCCAAGGTCTTTACCATTTCCAACTTTGGTAATCTTCTTTCTTGGCTTTTGGCAGATAGAGTAAACAAAGTGCAGTGTGATGCAATTTTTCGGCACCTGTAGCTAGCCTTAAAAAATTTCTAGAATTATTTTTCTGATGCTATCGAATTCCACTTTTGGTGATGCCAGGGGCCATAGAACTCAAAACGGTGCAAACTAAGGTTTCATTCGATGCAGCTTTTTCCCCTCTTTCTGATGAGTGTTTTTTCTTCCCAGTTTGTGGAGTTTTTGGCAACAAAACTTACATAACTCTTAATTTTGAACCCGCCTAAGGGTATGCACTTAATGCGAAATCCTATATTTCGAAGCGGTAAACGCTCAGTTACCTTGTAAAAATAGTGGATAATTGAAGTATTGAAATCCGAAGATTTGTTGATTTTCGGAGCGTTCGTGTATTTTGTGACTCTAAAAAAGTAGACTTCTGGAAAAGCTATCTTAAAAAAACTGAGAAGCCAGTTAAAAATGGCAAAAAATTGCATTGCATTGCACTTTGTTTACTCTATCTGACTACTATCAAAGCTTCTCCAAAAGCCAAGAAAGAAGGTTGTGAAAAATGGCCAAAGTTGGACATGGTGGAAACCATGGGTTTGAAATTTCGACGATTATCTCGGTGAACACAAGTGTAAGCAACATAGGGGTATGACAGTTAAAAAGAGGAAGAAAAGCTGCGTCGTTGCTTGAGTCTCCCTATCTTCGTCCCACGTGTTCTTAGGATAGGTTGAAAAAACGGAAAGAACTTTCTGAAAGACCTAATATTTCTCTCTAGTAGGTAGATGGCCTCGAAAGACTTGCACTGAAATACTGAAATACGTAAACAGGAATTGTTTCGAACATTTGGACGATTTTGCTTCAAAAAAAATCCAAGAAACTTTGTGATAAACATGATGTACACACATATAAATTGGGTTATCTTTATATTGCGGTTGTTCCGAAAGTTTTGTTGCTTTGATTTTAAAAAATTCGCAACTGCTTCCTAGGTGAACGTACATAATTTAAAAATATACCCCTAGATAGAACAATTCATCTATTTTCTAATCACATTTTCGCTTCTCTCTGGCGACAAAAGAATCCAGAGATAAAAATTCGAATAGGAGAACCACTTAAACGCGTGATTTTCAAAAATGAATTGTCAAAAATTTGAAGAGTTGCAGAAACATCTGAAAACATGTTTTTTTTGGTGTTGTGTGAGCTGCTCTTTTTAACAGTGCCAAGTTTGTGATAATCGAGCTTTTCTATGAAAAGTTATGCTTTTCGTGAAAAATGCAAAAAAATGTTATTTTTGCCGTTTTTTGCATTTTTCACGAAAATCATAACTTTTCAAGGAAAAGCTCGATCAGCACCACTGTCAGATAGAGAAGGCTACAAAATCTCTGGGAAACATACTCCTAGATTTTTTTGCAGCGTTTCAAATTTTTGACGATTTAATTTCGAAAATCACGGGTCTGTGTGGTTCTCCTATGCGAAGTTTTACCTCTGGAGTCTTTTGTCGTCAAAGAGTAGCAAAGATGCCTTTAAAATATAGTTGAACTTTTCTATCTGAGGGTATTTTTTGTACAATCACATAGGAAGCAGTTACGAATTCGGAATCAAAGCGACAGAACTTTCGGACCAACCATAAAATTATGACTTTTATCCGAAGTAAAAGATAGCTTCTCAAAACTATCTACTCAGTGACATTCATTTACCACAGTTCTCACATCAGTGGGAGAAAGTAGTTAAAACCTACTTTGGTGACCATGCTTTTTGCATTTTTATGACCCAACTCAAGATCTGCACTGGTTGGGTATTTCTTCGTCAGCTTGAACTTGTGGGAAATTGCTACTGAGTTACCGCACTCAATTTTCGCAATATCGTAAAGTTTCCAAACTATATAGAACAAAAAACGGCTGCTATCTGTCGTTTGCATAGACTGAAAAATCATTAAAATTAGCTTGATTTATAATTCGTAGGTTTCTTTTATGCATAGATTTCAACAATACTTAATCATCTTCGAGTTTTCATCATTTTTTGCATGCTTTTTTTCTGTGATTTTTTTAGTTGTTGAATGTGTTCGAAAGCAATTTTTTCCCTTGCTTCTCTGCTAGAAATGAAAGAAAAAGGGAATCTTTTTATGTAGTATGTATGTATAATAGTATGTATTATATAATAGTCTGTGAGAAACCGTACGCAAGGTAGAGCATGACTCAAAAAATAATTTTTCATTATATCATTCGATTTCTGCGATGTAAAAGATTCTGAAGATCAAAGCTCAAACCGAATTTTTGCTTTATATGAGTTCAGCTTTATGGACTCACCACAGGACACATCACTTTGCAGTGCAAAAGACGTTGTCTAATTCGCGAAAGCCGTTGGCTACAGTAGAGTTTCTATATCCACTCACATTTGAAATAGTCCGTGCTTTTTCGTAAAATGACATGGAACTTACTGAGACAAAAATCCTTTATATATTATTTTATTTTCCCTCTGATTACGAGAAGTGCACGGATTGCTGAAGCTCTAGCGATTTGATGTTTCCGTTCCTGAAAGAATTAGAGGGATCCTGGACAATTACTTCTATAAGATTACAGTAGCAAAGCACATAAGTTTTTGCGACATTGAAATGATACTCAAGAGGAACGAATCTTAATGGAAACGAAAATTAGCTGAGCGAATAAGCTGAATTGTGGTGTAATCCAAAATGGTAGCAGTAGTCATCATGTGGTTCTGATATATCTCTATTACATCGCATTATAATATGAATCCAAACTCCACCGCCTTCTTCATTCTTGAAGAAAACCCCTGTAGTTTGTCCCTTTTCGTGAAAATCAACGGATAAGAATCTTCTGATTGCTTTTCATGTACAACAGGGATGATCTTTCACTGAATCGGAAAGTAACGAAGCTACAGTTGCCTTAAAAAAGCTAGCCTTTGATTCAACTGGCTTGGCGGCTGGAAGGCGGGCTTTGTGACCTAATCAAGACCGCTCGCGCCTGCTACGCAGTCTGCGTCTCTCCTGCGCGCATGCTCTCTAACCGTCTAGCCTTGATTAGGTCACGAAGGCCCCGCCAAGCCAGTTGAATCAAAGGGCTATAAGCTTTGAAAGTAATTTTGCTAAGCTTTCTACTCCCGTAATTCTTTAGTTTCTATCGACTTCTGATTCGGTGGCTGTTATTTTCAAACGAACTTTATACATTGTCCATTGCCTGATTGCTCTGCTTTAACTTAGTTTCCAAAAGTATGTATGAGCTTGCAAATTCTATAGTAATCAGGCCTGAAACCTAGGATTGCACTTACGCTTGCGAACACTACATTCCTCGTACGCAATAGAGCGATATTGCATTTTCCAAACAAGCATAGGTCTTCGTTGCTACCATCGCTAGAACTCGCCAACCGTGGATTTTATGTGCAGTCATGCTGCACTTGCATGCTGTTCATTGCATTGCCGGTCGTTAAGACGTTTCCCTTCACTTTTTTCCCGGGATATTGCTTTCACGCTCTATCGACTTATTCTATATTTGGGAAGGTAAATCTACTCACTAGTACCCGGACCAGTTTTCAAATTTCCTACATAGTTGCTACCTTATTATTTAGGCTCTGTTTTTACAGACTTCCTGTGACCTGTGTATTGTTCATAACTGTAAATCACTAACAGGAAATTTTACGTAATGTATTTGCATTTGTAGCAGAATCATAAAAAACGTATTATGGGGTCTCCAGTTTTCGTTTTTCGCTATGGCCTACCATTGGTTCTTCTATTCCATTTCATTTTGTTGCCCTTCGGTTCCAACTGGTAATTTTAGTTTGCAGAAGAGCCAGTATGTAATGGCCAGCAATGAGTTATTCACATAGTCAGGAAATGCACTCTCTCATTCCTTTGGCGAAAGGCAGATCGTGCTCATTTCGGACTATCGCCATTTCGAGCTTCGCATTCATAATTACTTGTGTAAGCTAATTCTAGGGACGTCCATATCTTACTGAGGTTTAATATCAACATGATCTTTTCACTCATAGAATGCTTGCTGAATTTGTCTTTTTGACTTCAAATGTCATGATGGAAGTGCCTAGAAAATTGATAATGATAGAACAAACTGTCAGTATCGATAGGTGCAATTAATTTTTCCGGAGTGACATGCTGATACTATTTACTAATTGATTCTGAGTATACATTAGGCGAAGAATGTTCGGACGCTGTTCTCGTAGTACAAAATACTTCCTGTCAGCTGATGCCACAGCGAATGCCTGATAACTGTTTTCTGCTTTTTTGCCCTTCTGATGCTATTAGGTTCAATCACAGCCTTTAGCAGCACTCAGGATGGTTGAAGAAAATCGAGTACCCAATAGTTTTTTATTTACTCATTTTCAAGTCTTTTGCCGCTCAGAGATTTTGAATCTATGCACCATCGGCCATCAGTCGTTTGAAATCACCTTCTCTGTCTATTGTGGAACATTTCTCAGTCTTTAAGCGCATTAGCAGTCGGCTCAAACTCTGCGCTTGTTTTTTGCTGGAAACGAGAACATGACGTCGCAGCATAACATATCGTCATAACCAAGATCCTAACCAAGAACTTTCTCAAGCATACGTGTTTGTTTTTGGAAAAGTTTTCTCCTTTAGAAACTCCATATTTGGATCACAACTAAAGAAGTATGTTTTTTCCCGAGTATGATGAAAAATATTCTGTTTATTGTTTGACATCCTAGACAACGAAGTATGAAATCCATCAACAACTTCCTATTTATTTTCGTCACGGTCAATCTGATGTTACATCCATAATTTAAACCTGTCGGCTGACCGTTGATGTTTATTTTTCGTGTAACTTCGCATTTTGATTTTTCGAATTTTTATTGTCTTTCTTCATCTTGTCACCAGTGAATCCCTCCTTCACTAAATTCTCGCTTTGATAATTCGTTTCCGTCATTTTCCTAGGCAGTGATTATTTTTTAGCGTACGAAGGCGAGTAGCTAGTGTCGATCTGAGCAGAACATGGATTCTGCCGGCGACGATGACGATACGGACAAGGGGAGAAACAGCGAGACCAAACCTATGATGGCTTCTTCCGGAAAAAAAGCCGAACGCGCTTGCAAACGTAGATGAAGAGGTAGCAAATGACAATTTAGACATACGAGAGCGACTCTGAGCATTGCCATTTTAGGACACTGGTAAAGGGTTAGCCAGGACATTAACGCTGACAAACAGTGTGACAATGATTGTGGGATGTATCATAGGATCGGGAATTTTTGTGAGCCCCACAGGCGTGCAAGAAGGTCGGCATTTTCATAGCTGGCTTAGTTCAAGTACCAATGCCAAAGTTTCAGCTGCTGGATCTGTCGGTGCTTCATTAATTATCTGGGTCTTGTGTGGATTGTGGTGTGGACTTGGAGCGTATATCTATGCCGAACTTGGAACGCTGATCACAAAATCGGGTGGTGATTATGCGTACATCATGGAAGCCTTCGGTCCATTTGTTGGTTTTCTGAGGCTATGGATCGAAAGCATGGTGGTCAGGTATGAAACAGAATTCGCTTTCTCAGAAAATGGCTGTTCAGTTCTAAAATCTGAAAGTCATCCTTTTTTGCAGCCTTTGGAATGTTTTTTAGACCATGCGCCTTGACGATCGTGGGGCTAACGTTTGCGCTCTACATGCTCCGGCCGTTCTACCCAGATTGTGATCCCCCTCCTTATACAAAAGAACTACTAGCTGCAGTGATGATAAGTACGTAGCTATTTTCTGGGTTTTCTCAAGAAATAGTCATTTTCCAGTGATTCTTGGCGCTATCAATTGCTGGTCTGTGAAATTGGCAACTTTGGTGCAAGATTGGTTCACATACGCAAAAATCGTCGCTCTTCTTTTAGTCATCGTTACTGGAGCAGGCCTTCTTATGTTCGGTAAGTTTTACAACTTTCTGATCAAACGCATTTCTGCGATTTTTAGGTGGTCCACAATATAGAGAATCGTTCGAAAATATCTTCGAAGGAAATTTCCGAGATTTCTATCAAGCTTCAGTAGGATTTTACTCAGGACTTTTCGCTTATCAAGGCTGGACATATCTCAACTTCATTACGGAAGAGCTAATCAATCCGAAAAGGTTTTTTTCTCGTTGGGAACTCTTTGAGCAACCTTTGAGAGTAGTTTTCAGGAACCTACCACTTGCCGTGATGTTCTCTTGTGTCATCGTTACAGTAATCTATACTTTGTTCAATGTTGCCCTGTACGTGGTGATCTCTCCTGACGAAATGCTAATCAGTCCTGCGGTTGCAGTGGTGAGTCCATATATGGTTGTCATATTATAAAAGCTTCAGATAATTGTAGTCATTAATCAGTAGCTTGCAAAAGTCTCCCCAACGCAACTTAATTCACTGAAAATCATGGCAGAATTTTGGATCTTGTTGACGCTAGAGCACTATGAAATTGTTTTGCTTAAGCCACTTTAGAGAAAGCGAGAAAATTGCAAAAATGCACCATGTTCAATTTTTACTCACTCATCTATGCAAAATTCGCAAACTTTAGATGATTTTCAGCTGTTTGCGCAGAAAGTCTACGGCAAATTCGCTTTCATTATGCCACTTTGTGTTGCAATCTCAACTGTGGGATCGGCTAATGGTGTTATTATGACAAGTTCCAGGTATGTACATATGTTAAAGAAGAAGCTGCCTAATTTTTGGCCGAAAATTCGGGAATATGCTGTCAGGGAAAGAGGGCCAGGGAACCTGACAGCAATGGCGGTCGCAGGATTTTTGTCTGGCCGGGTGGCGGAGAGGGGGGGGGGGAGGGCGACAAAATTCTGGGATGAAGGTGCGTGGCATTAGCCACGCAGTCCGAAAGATTTTTGGAATTTTTTTCAATGTTTTGAACCCTACAACCTACGAAGAAATTTTTACAAGGCTCTTTTGATTAAAAAGTTCAGAAATTATTATAATTATTTAGTTATCTACAAGCACAAACAACATAACTGCACAATTCAATAGCTCATGTAAGTTACAAAATTTTTGCTACCCAGTCTCGTAGAGAAGGGACCTCCTGTCACACCGTCCGCCACTGCCTGATAGTTGTGTGCTAAAGCTAGGACATCACTGTGAAGGAATGCAGGAGCAGTATTGGAAATTAATTCAAAAAGTGGTTTCAATAACTTTCTGCTATTCCTAAATGTCTGTGGAGGGGAGGGGAATAAGGACGAAAAAACAGGATCCAGAACACTTTCAGTAAAAAAGACGAAGAGGCAATAAAGGGTCACGGCGGCTGGCACCCATTCTTACACTAGAGTATTGAGTACAGAGCAGCAGTAGCAGTAAAGATCTGGAGAAAGGCAGCAGAATCTGAATAATGGACTAAAATCATATGATGTCATGAAATGCAGACTTTACAGTTATCAAAAAAGCGCTGCGGCTTCACACTTGAGTTTTATCTCATCCTCATGAGCACTACGACGAAACACTCTCAAAAGCAATTTCAGGCTTTTCTACTGTGGTGCTCGAGAAGGTCATATGCCAGTTTTGCTGACCATGATCAACAAAAAGTTACGAACACCCATTCCAGCTGTGGTTTTCACTGTGAGTATAAAATTTGGAAGTTGTACATTGTTCAAAGTTTCCTTTTCAGTGCATGGTCTCAATCGGTTACTTGTTCCTTTCAAGTAACCTCTATGTACTTATCACTGCAAGCCAAGTAACCGCTTGGCTTGCTATCACTGTAGTGACTATAGCGTTGTTTAGACTCCGATGTATGTATCCCGACGCTCCTCGGCCTGTTAAGGTAAATATATTTATTGAGATCTTTTCACTCTAGTTGAATCGAAGAAGAATTGTACATTAGAATTTTCAGCAAACCGCTTAGCTACCTTTTCACCTCTCCAAGATTTTCTAGGATATCTTTTATTGAACTTATTTTCAGGTGAACATCATTTTCCCCATAATATTTGTAATTGGATGTACTGCGCTTGTTATTCTTCCCATCTTCGGATCCCCGATAGACACAGGTATAGCTTTACACATTAATCAAGAATTTTGACTGAGATGGACAAAATAAGAAAGGTTGTCTTAGGTTGTCCACTATATGAACCGTAATTTCTAACGTTTATCACTTTCGTTCCTTTCCAAATCAAAATTTCAGCAATTGGTTTTGCTGTGCTATTTTCGGCGGTGCCCATATACGTCCTCTTTATATGGTTTGGAAAAATGCCACAGTGCTTCAACGTTTTGATGTGTACGTTTCTTTCTTTTGACTTTCGAACACGGTTTACGCTTCTGTTACAGATAAATTCACTGTCTTCTGGCAAAAACTGTTCATGTTGGTCGATGATAATAAATACGACTGACAAGCGCTAATCGCTGGATCAGCTTGCTGCAAATTTTATGAAATGATTTTGTTACGAAGCTATTGATTTATTTATTCGCACCATCCAAAAAGGGTCGATAAACTTTCTGTTCTAATCTATGTTACAAATCATCAACCCGTAGAAGGAAACCCACACGCACTCAGATCAAAATGGAATCGAATGGATTTTTGCCATGCAAAACATTCAAATGATTTCCTCAAATATTTGTATAGAAGAGAACACAGAGTGTTGATCATTTTATTAGCCTCATAAGTCCAAACCAGGTGGTTTGAAATCACCCTCACATCATTTCCTGAGTAAGAGGACAATACAACTGAATGATGCCTGTAAATGAGGAAGAAGACGATAAGAAAGGTGACGCAGATGGGGAACTACCATCTCGCACTGCACAGAAGAACTCGAGCCACTCCAATACGGTCAAAGATTCAAAGAAGTCAAGTGGAGAAGATGCAATTGTAAGAGTCAGTAAAGCCGTGTCAAGTCGATCGTACATTCAGGCATTTCCTTGCATAAAAATTATCCCTTTGAAGTTGATGAGTTTTTAGTGGTCTTTCTCAAGTTTATATGAAGAGGATGAAGAGAAGGGATTGAGGAGAACGCTCAGTTTGAAGAACGCCATTACAATGACGATGGGCGGAGTGATTGGTGCAGGATTATTTGTCGCCCCTACGGGCGTTCAACGAGGTCCGCACTAGTCTTTCGTTAATTGAAAGGAATTTCTGCTTCTACAGCTGCTGGCTCAGTCGGCGCGTCAATCATAATATGGTTTATATGTGGAGTATGGTGTTTTCTTGGTTCGTGTATCTATGCCGAACTCGGTATTATGATTCCAAAGTCGGGCGGTGACTATGCTTACCTTATGGAAGCATTTGGACCCTTTCTCGCATTTCTCAGGTTCTGGATAGAAGGAATGGTAGTAAGGTATATCTGCCTATATATCCGGCATCATTCGCAGTCAAAATACAGTCTGTTCCAAACAGGACCAGGGAAAAACATTTTATGTGGAACTCACATTCTTCGCGAGCGCCAGCGGTGGCCTAGGGAACAACTGTGCTCTTTTGAACCCCTTGCGCGGACTGCTAGTTCTGGAGCGACATGCATATTGCCAGGACCAGATGCCCGCAAAGGCGGTCCGACTGGCCAAGTTTCTTCCTCTACCCATGCGGTCGCGATACGGCCACCGTTGCGTGACGCGCATCAACCCAATTTCTGCCTGAACGAAGTTGGAACTGATTGCAGGCTTTGTGTGGGAGTGACGGTTGCTGATAGGGGCGCTTGGGTCCTGCGCGGTCGCCTCGTTTAGGCTCTGCATCTCTCCAACAAGCTTGCTTTCTAATCATCTTCTCAGGCTCACTCAGACAATTGACCGGGACTTCCGCAGAGCGCTTGCGTAAATTCTGTCGGGTCACCTGCAAGAGTTCTGTGAACGTTCTGCGGAAGTTCCAAAATGAGTTCCTGCGGAAGTTCCGAAGAATACCAACAAAAGAGAACACCGAAGCGAGATTTGAACCTCACTCTATTGAGTGTGAGACCCACCTACTATCCTCTACACTACGACTACATCTTCGATAATGCGCTATTGTTGGCGAAACACCATCACGAGCCAGCACATTTAAAGTCCTGCGGAAGTTCAGGCAGGCCAAAGTGTTGCGAAAGCTTTGGCATCTTTCGGAATTTCCGCAGGATTTTGAAGAAGGATCTGCGGAAGTTTCGGTTTTCAACCACTTTGGCATGAAAATCCCCCGGAAGTTCCAATTTTCAACGTTTTCACTTTTGCAATAGTGAACAAAGTCCTGCATAAGTTCTGCAAAGTTGGCTTGTCCTGCGGAAGTTCCTGTGATTTGTCTGAGCAGTTAGCAATCGAAGATCCGCATTTTCCACTCTCGTGGTGGTGATTAGAGAGCACGCTCGCGAGAGGTATGCGGAGACCGGACAAGGCGGCCGCGCGGGACATGAGGCTTTGGCCATACTTCGCCCGTGTTACCGGTGTTGAAAGTGTTGCCAGTGTTGAAAGTGTTGAAAGTGTTGAAGCTGTTGCCGGGTTGAAAGTGGGAATCATCAGTCTTGCAGTTTCATTCTTCCTCGAACGATCTCACCGGCTGGTGAGTACGTCTGGGATGGAAATGGGAAATGAGAAACGAGACTGAAATGAAATAGGAAATGCTTTCGCAAAAGCTCCTCGAACGTACTTTTTGGGAAGTGAAGGACTTGTTCTGAATAGGCAATCTCCAACACTTGAGATGTAAGGTCTAATGAGAATGCGTGTTAGGTGTCGAATCATTTTGCGATTGGTGAGCAAAATATCTTTGGGAGGTCTCGCAGCGTTCTCAAATGTTGGAAATTGCTTCTTTTAAACAAGTCTTTCACTTTCTAAAAAATTTGTTCGAGGAGCTTTTGCGAAAGCATTTCCTATCTCATTTCAGTCTCATTTCCCATTTCCCATTTCTATTCCAGACGAACTCACTAGCCGGTGAGATTGTTTGAGAAAGAATGAAACTGCAAGACTGATGATTCCCCATTCAACACCGACAACACTTTCAACACTTTCAACACCGGTAACACTTTCAACACTTTCAACACCGGCAACACTTTCAACACTGGCAACACTTTCAACACCGGTAACACGGGCAAAGTATGGCCAAAGCCTGAGCTCCACCCAGCACCCATCACTTGCAATGATACACATGGTACGAATGAGGGCTCGGAAAGAGCGTAGCATATATCAAGATGAGAACTGTTGTAGGATGCAAAGCGAAGAAAGTGTCGTAAATATACATTCAGTTGCATAGTTGACAATCAGGGTCAAGCAAGGGGTGTGGCACACGATCGCTGGTACGACCCCCCCCCCGATTGCTGTCTTAGGGCCGCATGCACTAACATCCCCGCGGGGAGGGGATCGCAGCTTAAAAGAAAGCTTCATATTTCGAAACTCCAGATAGCTGGATTTCGCGTTGCGTACCTATCCGTAAGTATTCCTACTATCCTTCACTATGAACATGTTGAACAGGAGCGAGAAGCTGTACAAACCGCATTTTCCAGATTTTGTATGATCCCTGTAATCCCCGGCGCTTTTCTTTACAGGCATTTTTCTTTCTCTGAAGTTAACGAAAAACTTCCAAAGTTGTGCAGATTATCTAACCCATCAGTGCTAAGCATATTGCTGATAAGAACAAATGATGTTTTGAAGTCATGAAATTTTCGATGATCCACAGGTCGAAATTTGAGGTTTACCGAAAAATTCGATTTTTCAAAAACTCATTTGTTCTCATCAGTAACTTCCTTAGCACTGTTGTGTTAGATGTTCAGTACAACTTTGGAAGGTTTTCGTTAACATCGGAGAAAAAAATGGCTTTAAAGAAAAGCGCCGGGGATCATCAGGGATCATACAAAAGCTGGAAAATGCGGTTCGTACACCTTCTCGCTCCTCTTCAACATGTTCATAGAGAAGGGCAGTAGGGATACTTACGGATGGGTACACAACGTGAAATCCAGGTATCTGGAGTTTCGAAATATAAAGCTTTCTTTTAAGCTGCGATCCCCTTCCCAGCGGGGAGGTTAGTGCATGCGGCCCTTAATAAGACCCTCCCCCCTGAACTATACACTTAAGATAGCATTACTTGAAGGCCCTATCAAATAAAATGGGCAACATTTCCATAATTAGCATGTCAAATAACCCCTGTAGACAAAGTTTGAGCGAATTCTGAAGATTCAAGATACTAGGCTATTCAAGTGAAGTGGTCAAATTCCAACATGGTTAACTTTGTTTTAAAGGTGAATTAGCTATCCGTTTTTTTTTGTACTCAAGACAAAGCACTACTCCTTCTTTGTCCACCTCAGAAATTCCGCCTCAAAAGACCTCCAAACTGTGGTATTAGAAACCAAAATCTCATTTTTCCCATTTTTCGCTTTTGATCGCTGTGCTTTCACCAAATATTACTCAGAGCTAAGAAGATGAGTCAGGCTCAAATCGCTCCTGTGAAAACTAGGAGATCTAGGCTATCGATTCATATAAGTACTGTCCCCTAAAAATGTTATTTGATATAGTTAGGATTTAGTTGCAGCAGCAGGGGTACGGCACACCCCCTCGAAAGCTGCTGCTGCCGCAGCTTTTGAGGGGTGTGCCGCACCCCATTAACTATATCATAAAACATTTTTAGCGGACACTACTTATATGAATCGATAGCCTGGACTGTTTGGAGCCTGACTCGTCTTCTTAGCTCTGAGTGATATATGGTGAAAGCACAGCCATTAAAAGCGAAAAATGGGAAAAATGAGATTTTGGTTGGCTTCTAATTCCACAGTTTGGAGGTCTTCTGAGGCGGAATTCCTGAGTTGGACAAAGAAGGAGTAGTGCTTTGTCTTGAGTGCAAAAAAACGGATAGCTAATTCACCTTTAAAACAAAGTCAATCATGTTGGAATTTGACCATTTCACTTAGGTAGCCTAATATCTTGAATCTTCAGAATTCGCTCACTTTGTCTACAGGGATTATTTGACATGCTAATTATGGATAGGATACGAATATCATGTTATCACTATTATCAGATTACCCAACTACGACCCCCTCCCTGACTCCTCAATACGACCCCCCAAGTGTGGCGGGCCGCACCCCGCGCTTGACCCTGTTGACAACTCAGCATCCGCGATCCCGTATCAGACAAGCTCCGTAAGATCCTGCACAAATATCACCTTGCTCGAAGCGCTTTTCACCAAGTTCATTGGTCAAACAAGTGAATCTCTCATAGCTCAGATGCATATGAAGTCATGTGCTATACAAATCTACAAGATCTAGGATGAATAAACTACAAAGGATTGACGCAAAATTACGTGAATGAGCTATTTGGCGTTTTGAGAACTTCGTGTTGCTGAAAAGGAAAAATGACTCGTCTGCAATGCACAGTCAGGAATATAGCTCCAAATTCGTGTATACGCGGATACGCAAAGCAGGCAAACGAACGAATTGTGAGGTTTTATGTAAAACTTATGCGAATGAAGAGAGTGCTCATCTGAATCAAGGTAATAGTCGCTTCTTTCAAGCCACTCTAAGGGTGGCAAAACCTTCGGTTACATATTTTTCGTAATCCTCATACTAATTCGTTTTGCCTTATGTTTGTCACGTATAAAAATTTGGTTGCAAAATTAATCACCTCTTCCTTGCTAGAACCTGAAGTAGTAAAACAGCGTCGATTTCCCAGACAATAATTTGGACGAACGCAGTGCCTCTATCGCTATCGAATAAAGCGGGCGAGCAGAGTACCTTTAGCGGGCGACTAATATGCATTCCGCCGCTTGACCGGCAGAAGTGAGCCACGGCCCTCTATCTACAGCACTATATGGACCTGACGCGTGTTGCCACTGCGCTGATAACCCGCACTTGCTTTTGCTACGAACACATTCTGATGCCCAATTTATGAGCAGAAACCCATGCATTTGTGGCGAACAATAAATGCAACGCAAAATACGACGATGATACCACTCACTCATATGAAACAATATTAATTGATGTTAATCGCCTTAGCTTTGGTGAAGGATCACACAATGTAGCGAAAATTATCCAGATGAAGACCGAAGTATATGTTATAGCTGGCATCCCCGTCCCGTCCGGACCATGGGTGCAAATTGCTAGTATGACATGTGATCCAAAGCACCTTATAGCTTACCATTCCTCTCTTTCCTTCATTTTGCTCTGTTTATTCCCTCACAGCAATCTCTCTTTTTTCTTCTTGCTTCTGCTCTGAGTTGAGCAGCTCTCCTATGGAGACACTGTGCTCCTCCTTGTTGTGATTGTCATCCTTCTTTGCCGCTTTGCTTCGTGACACCGCATCCTCCTTACCGCAAAATGTAAATGACCGTTACCGCCCTTTCTTTTGATTTGAGGAAATGATTCAAATAATGACTGATAAACTTCATTTCGCTCAGATGAATGTAAACAAATCAATAAATGGATAGAAGAGTTCATTGACTCCCAGCGAAGAGTAGCCTATGACCTGCGCCGTGGCTTGTTCATAGGGAAGATAATTTCAGCCTCATAGGTCCACTTAGAAAAACTTGTATTGAACATAGATGCACACAGACATAGACACTTTGACTTTCAAATATGTACTAGACATCGTCCTCGGTTCCGCTCGGGAATTGGGCTATTTGGCAACCTTGAAACTACCGCCGTTCTCCATTCTACGACGAAAATGTGATAGGATATATTTTCCTTGCTGACTTGAAACACCGGATCCTTTTCGCCGAGAAACGTAAACAAACTTTGCCGCCCGACTTACATGACTATGAAAAATGATCCTACGGTGGTTGGTGAACCCTCGAGTAGTAAACAAATCAATAAATCAATTGAAGGGCCCAACAAATTGTCGCAAAAGTAGCCTATCTTGTGCGCGGTTCCTTATTTATAGGGAGACGAAATTTGGCCTCATCGCTTCACACTACTCTCACTCACTAGTTGTCGAATTGCTTTAGGCAAAAATTGGATTGGCGGGCGTTCGCTCGCAACGGTTCGCGACGCTTCGCAGTACCAATCGTGCTAAGTACTCAAGTCTGTGTTCTTCATTCGTCTTAGTCTTAGCTTGGCAATTCCCAGCGCTATGCACCGCGAAGCCTTCAGCGACGCGTTGCTCCACGTAGAATATTCGGCCTATTCCTGATAAACCGACTGTACCTTCGTTCCCCATTTCTAGAAGTAATGAATGGGGAGATACCCATTCCATCGTGATGGCAGGGGCTAACTTATAATTAATTCAGCCACCAAAACATGGAAGCAGTATTATCAAAATGAATTACACAACAATGAGAAAATTTCAAAATGATGAGAGATGAAGAGTTTGATAATGATTAAATGCCGCCTACCCGCTCGGAGAGATAGGCTGCCGCTGGTCGGAGCGAGGTCTGCCGTCCGCAGATCAGTAGCGAAGGCACGCCGCCGTCCGAGTTATTGCCTGAGTTGCCGTCCTTGAAGGAGAATGCCCTTGGAGAAATGCGTGCTCTAAACGACGACCTGTGCAGTTGAAGCTATTATGAGGGAAATTACAAAATTGCAGAAGGTATAAGCGACTTTGTCTAACAAGTGTGCGTTTGCCAACGTTTAAGAGCTCTCCTACGCGCAACTTGTTAGCCGCGCGAAGGTAGAACAACAGTTGTAAGCCATACTCGCCTTGTGGAGGCAGATTCAGCCTTCTTTACTTCTCCCACCTCTACTATCGTTTCTTACTCTCCGAGGTGGGCAGGGATGAGGAATAATGATAGCTTTGCCGTCGCAAGCTGCCAGCAGCTCGAAACTCAGATACCCCTTACCCCTTTTTTTAAAAGCAGAGGAAAAAGCTATTCAGCTTTTTTTTCACTGAATTTTGTTTTCCACATTAGCCATAGAGGTTTACATACCTCACATGCTGAACCAAATTTAGAAGAATCTTAACCTATAATTGTGGTGATGTGATGCTGATCATTTCCATGCCATGAAACTTGAAAGCGAAAACATTATGAAAATGACGCTTCAGGCACCCCTGCTACAAACTGCACCCTCCGCGTGAGCTCCTCTGCTGCGGGGCGATGCTACCTGTATAAAGTTTGACACCCAGACACTGCTGGTGCCACTATAGCTATCGTTATTCTTGACATATAACCTACTCGCGCTCTTCTCCTTGTTCACTTCTTTCCCTCTCTTACCTAGCATCCGATGCCCCTTGTAACAGCAAAGACTCATCTTTCGTGCCGGGATTTAATGAGATTGGCGATTGGCGACTACTCTTTGATTCGATGAGAATGGCGGCTGGAAGGCGGCTTGCCCTTGTTTAGGCCTCAAAGCCGCACCTTCCAGCCGTCAGTCCTGTTGAATCAAAGAGTACGCACTACGAAAAGATTGAATAAGCTTTACTTTCCCTATCTATATGAGGATGAAGTGGTGGTGAGTAAGAACTTTCACTTCCCCAAGAGTAATCCAAAAATAGTAAGTCAATAGAGGAGCGGAACATACATCTGCGAAAAGTTGTTTGAGCGAACTCATTACTGCCGCCATGCGAGTCAAATATCGGACTTCGCTAGAACGTGAAGGTCGTATCGGCTAGGGCCCTTCTCACGCCATACATCACTTGATCCCAAATTAATCAAACAATCCCCTAGTTTTCAAAATCGTTCAGATGATGGGATAGCAGAATGATACCAGAGCGTTTGACACAACAGAGAGGGGAAGACTAGGGCCCGTATGCAAGTACGTCCCCGCTGGGGAGGGGAGGGGAGCTGGATCCCCAGGGGAACGATCCCCTCCGCCGAACCCCGCCATGACAGAGGGGAGGGGAGCGATCCCCTCCCCTGCACCTAGGCGGGGATGGTGTGAATGGTTTCAGAGGTATTGATCGAGCGAACCCCAGTGCATACGGGGTTCGAATGGGGGAGGGGATCCCTTCCCTTCCCCCACTCGAACCCCGTATGCGCGAATTCAACTCAATAACGCGGGGGAGGGGATTGACATCCCCTGCAACGAAGTAGGAGTTCGATGGTGTAGATCATGCCAGAGACGCGGATATTCTGGTTCTGCTCAGTCATTACCAAGCATTTCGTTCAATTTAATGGAGGATTTTCTTTGAAAGCCGGGTTCTTCTCTCAGCGACCTGTGGCTTGCAATTTGTCTTTCTTTTCTGTATTCGCCTCTTGAGAAAGACTCCGAGCAATGATAGCTGTCAATTTCGATTATTTGTAGGAGTTCTTGATCATTCAGAAAATTTGCGCATTTTTCATATAACATAATAGTTTTAACTATATAGACCGAGTAAACACATTGTAACTTTCATATTTCATGACATGTTGCCATTATCTTGTTATCTTAACATAAGCTGCCTTGAAAAAACCTAGAAAGTAGCATATTTGCCTATTTCTGAGTAGAAATCCCCTGGGGAGTGATCCCCTCAACAGCTGCAGCTTCTGTTATGTGTTAGAATACTGCTCTGAGCGTCCGCGCGGCACCCCCTCCCCTTTTCGGCAGCATAACGTCTTCTACCCATTCCCTTGCAGAGACACATCAACTTCTATAGTTCAACATTTTTACGCTGAAGTGAGGTATGAGCGAAAGTGGGCAGCATCCAAGAAAGCAGGAACATAATGGGAGTAGAAAAAATCATTTTTAGTGCCCCGAGCCAGTCACTGCATACGCGCATTCCGCAACCCTAAATTATTGAAAGTGAGGAGATGAAGATGAGTCGCAGTCAAAATATGAAATAAGAAAGAGTTTTTCATAGAAAATTTGAAAGCAAGGTGATTTCCCCGCTTGATCCCCTCTTGTGCATAAGGGGGTTCACTTCCCCTCCCCAGAGGGGGATCCCTTGTCCGATATTGTCTTTGTGCATACGAAGGTTCGCGCGGGGAGGGGAGGGGATCCCCAGCGGGGATCATTTCAATGGTATAACGCACATCCCCTCCCCGCAGGGATGTACGTGCATACGGGCCTAGGAGATCGTAATGCGTGAGTAATAACCGCAAAATCATCTCTTCACGATCTTTTCAACCGCAAAATCACTGTTCACGAACTTTTCTCGAGTATGGAAATGCCCTTCTGGTCACATTTTGCGTACTGCCAAATTGCATGGCGGCTGGTATCGGGAGAGGTGTGCTCGATGTTACGGAATCCCCCATACCTCATCCATAAAGGATCAATTTTAAAACCTTTCAGATGAACATACATAGATTTTATGTTTACTACATAAAAATGCAACTTAAGAGGCTTCTGACGCTTCTACACATTGATACTGAACCGAATTATTCAGGCCCGCTTCAAGAGCAGTCATCAGCTTAACCTTTGCCATTTACACACTGCGTCCTCTCTATCCAAATTGCGACGCACCACCGTGGACTACCGAGCTTGTCGCAATTATTCTTATAAGTAAGTTATAAGTTTGACAACCATAATGCATTTCGAAGGTAGAGAATGTGTTTGCTCTGCTTATGAATAAACGCAACACCTATACTTATACAGTGCTGGACATAATTATAAAGCCACTCTAGAAATCGTCGTAACTTTCGTTCTTGTCAATGAATCTGTCTGAAACTTTGCTGCATTGTGCGCATATCAACCTACCATGACCCTCCAAAACGGCTTCCAGTCTTGTTGAATCTGAACGGAGAAAAACGAAAAATTCGAAAAAGCCCTCTTTGAAAGCTGGACAAAATTATAAAGCCATCTGATTTTTCTAATCACTACCGCATTCGTTGGCTCTAAAATTTTTTCGTACAATTACATCCCAAAGTATGAAACATCTGCAACACCTACGGTCTGTCATTCTACTCAAATAGAAGCGATCACTGCATTTTTTGCTTTCAAAAGCACCAAAAGTCAAGCTTCTTCAACAAACAACTGGTTTTAAGAGTTTTCAAGCTCTTGTTCACTTCAAATGATAATCATGTAATCTACTGACCCTTCTGGATAGATAAGATGAAGAGCGCTTCCGTAAACTGCGTAATCGCTGATTTTGACGGACAGACTCCAACCTCACCATAAGGTTGAAACGCTTTTAAACCATAAAACTTAGTTTGCAATGTTCACAAAGTGCTGAACTTGATATATTACATTGCCTACATAGGGATGCAACTTTAGCAACAACTTTCAGATTTTCCCTATGATGCGGTAGCGATTTAGATCTGGAATACTTTCCAAAAATTCCCTGCGAGCGGAAGATTCGATATAACCCTAGATCTCCCTAATTCCCTCTGTGTTTCAAGTCATATTTCATCCGATGAATGAGCTTGGCTAGGATTTTGAAGTTTTAAGCGTCTCCGGTTTTATCTCGTGATCTGAGCTGGTTTTGATTGTGCGGGGTGCTCCACTCAACATTCAGTGAATGTCAACTGCGGCTGAATCAGAGTGCTCAGTCCCGAAATTTCTTCCCAGTCATGCACACGAGTTCACTGTTGTATGGCTGTCGTAATGGCTACATTACAGTATTTTCTGTCGCTTGAAAATCGAGTTTTGTGGTTCAAAAGCGTTCCAAGCCTATGTTGAGGTTGGAGTCTGTCCGTCAAAATCAGCGATTACTCAGAGTTTACGAAAGCGCTCTTCACCTCATCTATCCAAAAGGGTCATTAGATTCCATGATTATCATTTGGAATGAACAAGAGCTTGAAAACTCTTTAAAGCAGTTGTTTGTTGAAGGAGATTGACTTTTAATGCTTTTAAAAGCAAGAAATGCAGCGATCGCTTCTACTTGAGTAGGATGACAGGCCGTAGGTGTTGCCATCATATTTTGGGGTATTATTGTCCAAAAAATTTGAGTGTCAACGAATGCGAGTGATTAGAAAAACCAGGTGGCTGTATAATTTTGCCCAGCTTTCAAAGAGGGCTTTTTCGATTTTTTTCGTTTTTCTCCGGTCAAACTCAACAAGACTGGAAGCCGTTTTGAGGGGTTATGGTAGGTTGATATGCGCACAATACAGCAAAGTTTCAGACAGATTCATTGGTAAGAACGAAAATTACGACGATTTTTAGAGTGGCTTTATAATTATGTCCAGCACTGTAGCACTAGAGATCATGGGCAGATACCTTTGTTCAAATTTTTGATCAGCCATTGTTTTTCAAAGTTCAGTATGTGCTTTCTAGGAGAAGACTACAAAATCTGAAGATGTCTGAGGGACTCGTCATACTTCGCCGAGAAAAGTCCAGAAGCGCCAAAAAAGCCCAAAAGCGCTCAAAAAAGCCCAAAGCAATAGACAGAGCCGGAACGCCCCTTCCACGCACACGTTTCGGCGCAAAGACATGTGTGTTGATTTCAAAACCGAGCCTATTTTGGTTCATTTTCTGTCATCTGCACATCAAAATAATGTCAGAATTCTACCAAAAGTTCGTCTGCGTTCCGACCTTTTCTGCGCTTTCGGGCTTTTTCGGGGTTTTTCGGGATTTTTGAGCGCTTTTAGGCTTTTCTCGGCGATGTATGACGGGTTTCTGAACGAGTAACTTACCGTCCCTTGCGATAAGCCCTTAACCTTGTAACCAAGCATGCTCGTTTACAAGGCGAGGACCCTTATTGAACGCTATTGGCGGTTGGGAGGCGACCACTCGCACGTGCGACGCAGTCTGCGTCTCTCCCGGCGTGGTCTTTGATCATCCCTTAGCCCTGACTAGGCCTTGAAGCCTCGCCTTCCAGCGCCAGTCTCTTTGAACTAAAGGATAACTATTGGTTTTCAAAAAATTCTACCTTTTCAACAAAAGCCTAAAATGAGGGCAGAGTTAATGAGCTAGTTTCAAATATGCTCTTGTTGTTGTTGTTCAATTGCTCCAGCTATGAAGTGCGCCATCAGCTTGAAAGATACAACAAGCCAGACATAACACTTCAAAAAGTAACTTCTTTGAGTGGATGCAATGGCTCCCATTCTTTGCGTGTCTAAATTGTATGTACTTCTGGTAAATAGATGAAACAGAATAATCCAACCTTCACTGGCGGTGTACTGAATATAGGCGACGATATGATACTCAGAGCTATAATCGTCTAATACCAGCCAAGCCACGAAGATTATCTGCCATGCGGGTCTTGAGCGGTTGGATACGAGCACACCTCAAACTTGGGTAATTAAACTTTATCAGAGAAACAGAAAACAACAACAAGCACGGATAGAACAAATAACAAATAATATTAATGAATGATAAACTACAAATAGGAATGGTGATGTGATTGGAAGAAGGTATAAATATATGACTGAAATAGTTAAAACAAATGAGCGAGAGTCGTACATGTGAATAACTCTGAGTGTGCACTGTCAGCTACTTATATGCGTACGATCACATCATCACACAGCTGCATGCGACATTCTACTAATAGCTAAAAAACCATGAGCAATTCACACCTGATGCTAACATCTGCGAATTCTTCCGATAGCAAAAACGATGCAAGCTACTGAATTCATCGATGCTGTGTTGGCAAAGTATTACCAGACTACAAGGATGTAATGATTTGTACATTTTGAGAGAGAAAGGAAAAATACGAACTACGAAATTTTTATAGGCGGAACCTTTCGAACAGCATAATAGAGTTGCACAATACTTTCATGTGTAACGGTATCATAAACCAAGACAGTTTTGACAATGCAAATAGTTAGAGTTGCAAAGGCGAAAGCAATATGGTTCGTGACTATCATATCAAGAAATCTTTTCATATGACGAACATTTGGGAAAATGACAATGCAATGAACAGTGATTGCATGGGCTATATTGACTCACAAATAAAGTTATGCGACTTTCGACATCATATGTTGCGATCCTCATCAAGCGGATGATCTCTGTCACTAGCAGATTAATCAGCTTTGAGCGATTGCTATACTCAACCTTACTATCGTAGATCTTTTGTCTTACAGTTGGTGTGGGCGCAATAAATTGCTGGTCTGTAAAAGCAGCAGCATCTATGCAAGACTATATTACTTACGCGAAAGTGTTAGTACTAGTCGCTGTCATTCTTACAGGCGGTTTCCTTCTCATTTTCGGTGAGCTTAAATAAACTTCAGAGCCGGAAACTGCCGAACTGGTTTGACTTCAGGTGGGCCGCAGTATAAAGACTCCTTCGAAAGCCCTTTCGAAGGCAACTTTCGAAATTGGCTGGATGCTTCTGTTGGATTCTATTCTGGTTTGTTCGCTTATCAAGGATGGATAAATTTGAGCTTTCTTACCGAAGAAATTATTAATCCAAAACGGTTAGCACATAATCAAGAATAAGTAACTATGCAATTCATATATTAGGTCAGCCCGAAAGTTTGCGCTGTTTTTCAGCCAAGCTTACCACTTAGAATAAGGATAGACAAACGCCCTGAACAGTGTTCAATGCAAAATTCCTTCCTCTTTCTGAAAGCTGCGTTTTGGTTTACCTTTGATATCCGCTCAAATATTTGTCAAAATCTTCAACCCATGTTCTTACCCATCCTGAGTTTGGCTAATTTTCCGAATTTGCATTCTCAGCTTCCGGACTAACCTTGACAGCAACTGGATAGAATAAACAGAATGCAATACAATACAATCTTCTGGCATCTTCAACTGCCTTCTCAAAATTTTTGAATTTTTAAAGCCTTTACTTTTACCAAGTTGAAAATCACTATCGCTTCAAAAATTAATCAGTTTCCGGAATTTGAAGTTCTAACAGATCATGATTTAACACTGATTTTAGCAAGCAAATGAGTTTAGCGATTTGAAATACGGATTCCGAATTTTCTGGGTACAGCCCCTGGGGCGAGCCGAAAAAAAAAGAATCAAAATGATATTATTCTCACATATCATACAAGTCAGAAAGGAAAGAAGTCTACCAGAAAGAGGAGACAAAGCTGAATCGAATGATGCCCTGGTTGCTTGCTATCCATTGTTCTGTGAGAATTGGGATGTCGAAATGTGGAATTTGATATCATCAGAAAATCATTTTCAAAAATTTTGAGAAGGTGGCTAGAGACGCCAAAAACTGTGTTGTACTGTATTTTTACTATTCAACGTTTTTGAAGCCAGCCCAAAAGTTGAAAATGGAAACTCTAAAAAATAGCCAAACTCAGGATGGGTGAAAAACATAGGTTGAAGATCCTGACGATTATATTAGTGGACGTAAGAGGAGTCTGAACAAAAACACACTTTTGGAAAGAGAAATATTTTCTGCATCGGACACTGGTTAGAGCGCTTGTCTAATATTATTTCAAATAGTTTAAGCTTGGGTCTGAAAAATAGCGCGAACTTTGGACCGACTTAATAGATGATTCGGTCGACACAGATTCTTCCGTTTCTTGAAAAGTCCGCAAATCTCGTAGCAAATACTTTAAGCAGAGCCAATGCAGAATTCATTTCTCGTCCTAGCAACTATAATTACGGTGTGATCCCGCACTCGCATGCCGAGATGATGTCGGAGTTTACAAACTTTCGTTTCTTCCTTGTCTCACTTTTGCTAATTTTTTAGATTTTCGTTTAAGTCCTTTGAAAGAGCTTTGAAAAGTAAGACAAACCATTTGCAAATCTACTATCCCAGTAAATTCCAACATCTTCCTCTTGCAAACATTGTCGTCATTAATATATTGGTAGTATAGTTATCGGTAATGGTGAAAGAATGTTTCTGGAAAGAGATTTTCGATGTGATGTCTACCTCACCGCAAACTCTTCATCCCGGCCTAACCTCGATAAATTATCGACGATAACACTACAGAATGCACTAACAAAGTTTCCGTAACCTAAAAGACGCACAAACCTTGCCGAAGATGTTTGAAGAGGCAGTCGCTTGTTGCCACAAAATTAATCATGAAATGCAGCGTAGACCATACTCGAACTGATTAGTGGCACTCTTTAAATCACTTAACCTCGCGAATGGTATAAACTCATCTGTGATTGGCACGCTCTCATCTCGGCTGTTGATACGCGAGTTTCGGAAATCCAGAATGCGTCGAGAGCCTTTTTGCAGCAATATCGTATGCCAATATAAAGGGCCGTTCATGCATCGAGCGAGGGATCGTCGCGATACTTGGCAGTAACGAAATCGCTGCGACTAAATCGCTACTCTCTCTACGTGGGCATACTTCTTCATCAACTGGTGCAATCAAACACTGTGTCTCGCGTTTCCAAATCTCGCTCAAACTCGCTTATGGGGCTTATTGAATATAATGATCATCAAAATGACACTGTTCTTGCACATAGTACCCTTTGTGAAGGATGTCCGATAATCAAGTCCCTGCAACTGCTGAAACTTTACGTGGTTTATTTACCTAATCACAAGTATCATACTATATTCCTTACGGTGACACGTTATGGCGAACAGAAATCTACAAAATCGACAGCAAAAACGCCACTTGTATCACTTCATGATGAAGTCACTTGGTTGACCCCGACAAGGTGGAACTCCGCATTTGTCCAGTCATCATGTATTTAGCTTATCCACAGAAATGGCTTTACGCATAATTCGACTCTAATAGTCGTATCAATACTTTGAACAACCACATGGATAAGTTTTGAGTGAGGTACGTGACTTCAAAATTTTTGAGGGCCCGCACGCTAGGAAAACGCCAAAAATTGTGTGTTGCAAATTTTGATCAGTTTCTGATTTCTCTACAGAAACATGTTCGCAATCAACAATAAACTTTCAGAAAATATTCCAGAAAAGAGGTCTCCCGTGTGAAGGTCAGCGAGGCGATATCGCTGAGATTCAGTCAAACGCGACGCTTCCGATGAGCAAAGTATACCTTAGGAAAGACAGTCAGTGACTAGTCATGTCGTAAAATCATCACAACCGAAAAGCAAGATGATCAGCACGATGAACTCGTAACAATGGTCTTTCGGAAGACCGACGCGATGAAATTGCGTGATGTATGCCTGGCCCTTAAAAGCAGTGTCCAAATCTGGTTTGATGAGGGGTACTAACTAACTAAAGCACTGTCCAAAGAGCAGCGGAAATCGTTCATTCACGGCCTAGAAATCCGAAATCCCCGTGCCTGCGGCGTGGCCGTAACCCAAAAACGACTTCGCTCACTTCAACGCTGGGTGCGCGCTGGACCCATTCTAAGTGTTACAGTCACGGCAAAGCCGCGGAGCATTTATGGATGGATTTTTAGCCGTGAATGAACTATTTGCGCTGCCTTGGACAGTGCCTTAGCTGAAATTTCCTCAACACTTTCCAGGCAAAAAACCCATATGCCCAGATTTGCTTGAACACCACTGCCTTTAACACGCTTTATCTGTCATCCTTACTACCGTAGACGTCACCTTTGTATTTGAAAAAAGAATGTTTTTTTACTCTTACTATTATTAGGGTGATCACTAAAAAATGGGGCACCTAGAGAATAAATGTAGATTTTTCAGAAAAGAAAAATGATCAAATTTCCCAATTTCGAGAGATGTTAGAGTAGATTATTTTCTTTCAGAAAATCCCTATGTAAGGTCATTTACATAACTAATAATTTTTATAGTGGCTGAAATGCAAAGTTAGTCACTTTGACAAATTATAAACTTCGAGCAGTATCTGCGCAGTGAAACATGCGAAACCATCCAAAGTACTACTGCTGCAATGCGTGAAGGTACAGTCACCAGACCCACGATGGGTTGCTGGTGTAAACTTTCAAATTCAGGAGATATGGCCATTAGCAGCTTTGAGAACAAAGATACGTGCTATTCAATGCTTTGCAGGTGAACGCATGTTCTATAGGTACCATCTGAAAGAGCTTTTACGCTCTATGCATCCATATGCGTTTACCTCACATTTTATCTATCTTCGGAAAATGCAGGTTGAAACTTGATTTACTGGTTTTTGTTGCGCCAAAAAATCGCGATTTTCCAGGTATTTCGCTTTTTTTTGCCCAGAAATAGAAAGAAATTCTGTATGTTTCATATATTATTTGAAAGAGCATGAAGAGCTCTTTCGAATGGTATATCAACTACTCTTTGACTTTAGAGTATGGCAGTGCAAGAATGAGCGAGGTTCAAAAACCTGTTCGAGTTCTTCAGGGCGCTACGCGTAGGGTTGTGAGAGAGGAGCGTTGACGTTTTGCCAGAATAATAGGCAAAGGTCGCTCATATAAGCCGTTTACTTTGCAGCCTGCTTGTTGTTACTCGAAACAAAAAATCCAAAATTTGACAAAAATCAAGCTGTCCCATTTTTTAGCGATCACCCCAATATTTGTTTATTACAAGTATTTTGGAGGGAAAGAAATCAAATCATAACCTCTTACCATTTCAGGCCTCTGAAAAGAAAATTAGTCCAAATTTAGGCCACTTATAACTTGTAATCTTTGAATCTGCCTTATTAACCCGCTAACAGGGACTTTTATTTCTTCCCAGCTGGCTTTTCACAAATTCCAAGATATTGAGAAATTTTGAGCTACTAGCTGGTTTACTCGGCTCCACCCGGCCCTAATAAAACACCATGATAAAGGTTTCATTCTTATCCCTGTACAACCTTTCCCTGTGCCCACTTCTACATGCCAATTTCCTATTCTCGCTGTGTTAGTAGTCAGCATGCTCACTTGCCCCCGTGCCAATTCCAAGCCCTGTAGCTCGAACTTTGCGAAAAAACCCGACAAAATCGATAGACGTAACAGATAATTTTGAGCTAATATTGTATTCGTAATCAGCATGCTCATATTCTGTGCCATTTCCCTGCCCCGTAGCTCAAACTTTGCAAGAAAATCAACAAAATTGATAAAACTACAGATGATTCCAAAAACTAATATTGTATCCGTAATCGCCATGCTCAATTACGTATTATTTGGGGGACCCGAACTATGATGCAAAAATTTATGAAAAATTATGTGAATGAAAGCTGTGCTGGACTTTTTTCTCACCCAGCTGGCACCGTGCCAGCTGGGTGCCAGCTGAGCTGGCACCGACACTTTGCTCACATAAGTTTTCATACTTTTCTACATAAAATGTATCTATACTGTAAAAGTTCACATACAGAGAAGAAACATTTTCATAATGTTTTCTTTTAAGCGTCTTATAGCAATTTTAAAATTACTAATTCTGCTCCGCAATCGAAAAATCGGCTTTTTCTGCTTCTCAAGATGTGATTCAACCACTTAAAAGCTCAGAAAGCTGTGAAAAGTTGTTCCATGAAATGAAAACGCACAGAAACCCTACTACATACTTCTACATAATCTAAAAATAATGAGGGGTCTTCAAACCAGATCAAGAGGGGCTTCGTACGGAATTTTCAAGATCAAACGAGACTTCGTTTTGAAAATTCCCTGGTGCCAGCTCGTACCGAGCCCTGATTAATTCGCATGGCAACTACTGGAAAAATGAAAATCTGCATTGGATACTTCTCAAGTATTTGCTTGCAAATGGGTTCAAAGTACAGACAAAAGTTATGCACCGATCTAATATGAGTCGCGACCCATGAAAAACCACAAGCAAAAAATGGTGGGAACTATTTTTGCGGACCTTTGCACTAACTCATCTCATCCATGTTCTTCATAATTCCATGAAAATTGTGACTTGTTACGTGAATACTGATTAGAAGGCCTCATCTAAAAAATCCTTCAAACCGCAGTTCATGTGAATCACTCTTGACTGAAGATTCAACAATATGTTCTTGACAAGTCCAGCACGACAATGCCAACTGGACGTTGCTCAGAGAGGGGGCGGTCTGAGCAAGACTTTCAGTTGATTTTCTCGCCTAAAAAGATCATACTGCCTCTTAGGCAACGGCTTACCAGAGACTTCCAATCAGCACAGATATGAAGTCTAACTAACCAGAGTAATCTGTATATTGCCCTTAGCACCAATGTCAACTAATTGTGTGGTTATTTGCTCAGTAATCTACCTCTTGCTCTGGTATCATCGTTAGCTGCTATTACCCTTATCCATACATTTTTTGTGGTTGCGCTTTATGTCGTATTATCTCCTGATGAAGTGCTTATTAGTCCAGCCGTCGGTGTGGTAGGTCTACTTTGTACACAGAAATAAGAGGAAAAAGCAGTAGTCATTAAGTTATTCGCCGAGAAAGCCTACCCTACCGTTTCCTTTTTGATGCCCCTATGCGTTGCAGTGTGCTGCATCGGAACAGAAAATGGCAATATGATTATGAGCTCTAGGTAAGTCACAAAGACAAAACATCTTTGTCGGGCAATTAAACTTAGGTTGCTTTTTTGCGCTGGTCGTGAGCATCAAATGCCAAGAGTTTTAGCAATGATAAATAAAAAGCTACGGACTCCTATGCCTGCTGTGCTATTCGCAGTGCGTTGACACTTTGCAGAACCATACAAGAAACTTCTTAAAGCCAATTTTTTATTCTTTTTAGAGCTTTCTAACTTTATGCTATCTTCTTATCTCCAACAATCTCTATGCGCTCATCACTGTAAGTCAAGTGGCATCCTGGCTGGCATTCACCGTCGTGGCATTGGCATGGTTCAAACTTCGACGCAAATATCCCGATGCTGGCCGATCAATCAAGGTGTTTATCTTCAAAGTATTTGTTTTAAGAAAGATCCTGGAAAGTGACATTCTGAGGAGGATGGGTGCTTACAAGATTCGACACTTGTCGGCACCAGAAAATCTTTAAAATACAATTCTTTTTGACTTCACAGACTTTAGCGGAGCTTCCTTTAACCTTTCATCACTCTCCCTCATCTATTCATCTTTAATTCTTTACTTCTGGAATAAGGCAGTCAAATGGGGTGTGGGTTTCTTACGGAGGAAAGTATTAAGAATGCAATGAATCTGCGGCAGGTTACCGAGTTTTGATTTCACTTTGAAAACCGAAATAAGTTCTTATGATTCGAACTTAGTGATATAGTTTTAAAATCAGAAGAAGGAAGCAAAATGAAGACTTGCCAGTACCACTTTGGAACAGTAAAAATTACAACACTAGGTGCTGATCGAAAGAAATTGTGCTCGAACAGGCCCCTGCCAATTAGTGCTCTGAGTACTTCGCACAACAAAAGCAATGTTTGCTTAATCTCAGACGATCGACGGCATATCTCCGGAGCGAAAATGGGAGGGTTCCGGGCTCTGACTCTGATTCGGCTCACCGTGACCGTGACGTCACAAGAAGGCGAATGGGACCCCTCTCCGGGGCTCGCAAGTCTCTGCTCCGGAGGTGCGCCAGATTTGGACGAGCCCCGGAGCACCAAAATGGGTGAGATGGGAGGGCTCCGGAGCACGTGTGGCAAACCCCCGCTGGGCAGAGTCCGGGACCCTTCCTCGATTGTCTGAGTCCTACTGCTCTCATCCGGTGCATGTAATACACGGCGTCGAGAGTCTGAAAGACTACCTTTCTCGAATAAGGTCAGAAAGGAAAACTGGAATCAAAAAATTTGTGCTCACATGGTTCATTTATAAATATAGCTCAGTATTCAAATTTTGAAAAAGGCTCATTTGGAATCAACAGAGCCCTTCAAAATCTTGGCGAGTCTATCTGTTCTGGCATGCTGGTATGCGATAAAGTTTGACCCACGAGGCAAATGTGCAGCATCGTACACCAATCATTTCGGCAACATATTCCAAAGAGAACTTTCTGCAGAGCTCAGGAGTAAAAATATTGGATTTTAAGCCGATACATGTTCACTTCGTCTACTGGAAATCTGTCGAATACGTGAATTACGAAGTAGTGTATAGCGAAAAAATTATCGTCTGAAAAATAATGAAACACTTCCATCAATCAAGTTCAAATAGATGCTTATACAGAAGACATATGAAAGGAATATAGCCTCGAACCCAGTGATTGCTTCTATAGCTTTGTTTCATTTCAAAGACGTATCTCTCGCCCGCAGGTAAAATTTGCAAATTTTTTATTCTCCGCTTTCGAAAGAATATCTTCTAGCAAAAGCAACGACTACGAATCTTAACGAAAGCCTCCTCCACGACAATTAATCAAACTTTTGTAAAATATTCTCAGTAGTTCCAGCTACGATTTTTTCGTCCTGCGAAAGTAACCGTTCGATAAGTCCTGTTCAAAAACTTATAGCAGCCATTTTGAGCTAGGGACAATATATATATTTTGTAAAGGATGATTGCAGCATCATGTAGCATAGAACTGAAATCAAAACCATTAGTAGCTTTGTAATTACAACGTGCAAAGTAGGCTTCCAGACTTTTGACGCACTCTGTAAGCATGGGAGCGGATGTTTAAACCAAAAATTTTGGGTAATGATTAGATTCCTTCTTGGGGTTTCAAAAGAGATTTACAGTGAAAACGTCTGTCTTTTCTGATTCCATGTGGATATGTGCTACACGGTTTGCGCCTCTATACAAATTGGCAGCAGCTTTTCGGAGCTACTTATCGAACTTTCAGGTTCCTCCAATTTTTGCAGCAGTGTTTGTAGTTGGATCAGCTATCATTGTCGTTTTCCCCGTCATTGCTTCTCCAGTGGATTCAGGTAATTACGGATTTACCCATGAATACTTTCTGACTCGAAATGACTCAAAAAATTTATACTTATTTTAGCGATAGGTATAGGAATATTACTTACTGGAGTTCCTATCTACGTGCTTTTCATCCAACAAAATAAAACGCCACTTATCATTAGAAGAGCGCTGTGTAAGTGAAAAGTACTTACGTGTAATTTTCTCTTCTTTACTTTCCGAAACGACTTTTCAGTCTCTTTTACCGTGTTTTGTCAGAAGATATTGATGGTGGTCGACGATAACGAAAGTAAATGAAAACATGAGAAAGGACTCAGCAGTTCTCTTCAAGAGGAACTACTTTTCAACATTTATTTCAATGAAGCTATGACATTACTTAGACCTAGCATCTCGATAAGAGCCGTATTTGACATATCTCGTATCAAAGTGGGATCAAAGCTGCATGGTAAAAAGAAAAAAAAGAAAGAAAAAAGAGCATCATCACAAAATTTCTAATGCAAACTAAAACTAATTAAAACTAAGGGCCGCATGCACTAACCTCCCCGCGGGGAGGGGATCGCAGCTTAAAAGTAAGCTTTATATTTCGAAACTCCAGATACCTGGATTTCACGTTGTGTAACTATCCGTAAGTATTTCTACTACCCTTCACTATGAACATATTGAAGAGGAGCGAGAAGCTGTACGAACTGCATTTTCCAGCTTTTGTATGATCCCTGATGATCCCCGGCGCTTTTCTTTGAAGTCATTTTTCTTTCTCTGATGTTAACGAAAACTTTCCAAAGCTGTACTGAACATCTAACACAACAGTGCTAAGCACGTCGCTGATGAGAACACATGAGTTTTTGAAAAGGCGAATTTTTCGGTAAACCTCAAATTTCGACCTGTGGATCATCGAAAATTTTATAACTTCAAAAATCATTTGTTCTTATCAACAACATGCTTAGCACTGTCAGGTTAGATAATCTGCACAACTTTGGAAGGTTTTCGTTAACTTCGGAGAAAGAATAATGACTTTGAAGAAAAGCGCCGGGGATCATCAGGGATCATACAAAAGCTGGAAAATGCGGTTCGTACAGCTTCTCGCTCCTGTTCAACATGTTCATAGTGAAGGGTAGTAGGAATACTTACGGATAGGTACACAATGTGAAATCCAGTTATCTGCAGTTTCGAAATATAAAGCTTTCTTTTAAGCTGCGATCCCCTCCCCGCGGGGAGGTTAGTGCATGCGGCCCTAAGACAGTCATATATAACGAAAAGGGCTAAGGTTCAATCCTATTTCTTGATTTTTTTTTGTCAGAATTATTGAAAATGACAATATTCAATTTACAATATGGAAAAGGCTAAACAATAGATCCTAAACTAGCAAAACCGATGATAACAACGCTTTAATCTTGGACAATTCTTCTATGCCGGAAGAATTGCCCAAGATTTTATTCTTCTAGGACTTATAGTTTAACGCTTTAATCCCCTCTAGCTTGAGTACTGGTCAATCTGTGATTATGCTCATGGTGGTGGACTCTAAATCCGCTTTGTCTCCCGAAATCACGTAAATCCATCTCATCGATAAACTTTGCTGGGAGATATATTTTTGAACAGCAAAAGTATCGATGTATTAGGGTGATCGGTAAAAAATGGGGCAGCCTGATTTTTATTACATTTTGAGGTTTTTGGTTTCACCAACAACAAGCAGGCTGCAACTCAGACGTCGCTTACATAACCGACCTTCGCCTATTATTCTGGCAACGCGTTACCGCTACTCTATCATAACCGTACGCGTGGCGCCATGAAGAACTCAGACAGGGTTTTTGAAACAATTCTCAATCTTGCGCTGCTATACCGTAGAGTCGTAAAGCAAAATACATACCATTGGAAAGAGTTCTTCATGCTCTTTCAAAAGATATGTTAAATGCTTGAGATTTCTTTTCAGTTTCAAAAAAAGCGAAAAAAACTGAAAAATAGCTGTTTTTGGCGCAATAAAAACCATAAAATCATGTTTTGCCCTATATTTTCCAAAGATAGGTAAAATCTGAGGTATGTATAGATAGAGCGTAAAAAGCTCTATCAGATGCCTAGAAAACATGCGTTCATCTGCAAAGAGTTGAATAACGCGGATCTTTGTTCTCGAAGCTGCTAATGGCCATTCCTGACTTTGAAAGTTGAGGCCATCATGCCGTCGTGGGTTTAGTACTGTCCCACCACCCACTCCAGCAGTGGTACTTAGGGTGGTTTCACATGTTTCAGTGCGCAACTGCCCAAAATTTATATGTTGTCAAAGTAACTAACTTTGGATTTCAGCCACTTTAAAAATTATTACGCATGTAAATGATCTTATATAGGTTTTTTTTGAAAGTGAATAATTTATTCTAACACTTATCAAAATTGGGAAGTTTAACCACTTTTCTTCTTTGAGAAATCTACAGTTATTTTCTAAGTGCCCCATATTTTATTTACCGATCACCCTAATAGTTCTAAGTGCAAGCACTGTAATACAGATAATCCAGTAGGTGTGTGATGCCATAGGCATAATTTATCTAGTCTACCCTAAAATCCGGCATATAAGATCGCCTCGCAGTAAAGACCGCCTCGCCAATAAGACCGCAAAAGAGCTCTCAGTTAAGTCCGCTTTCGTGACAGCCTCGCGCGCCTCGCGCGCCGCCAAGTCCCGCGGATAAGTCCGCCTTATTTTTTTCACATGAAAACAAGAAGGATGCGCAATTGCGCTGCCTTTTTTGGTCTCAGAATGAACCGAAGCAACAGATCTTTATTCAGGTAGCATTCCATGTTCATCATAACAAACATTCATGGCAACAACTTGACCAAAAGAACGACCATCATTATCGTTATTATCAGCAACAATCAAAGCGTCGAAATCCTCGTTCATGCCTTCTATTATTGATTCGTCATCGAGAGCCTTGGTGAAACTGTTCGCAATGGTTTCTTCAGTGATTGCATTGAAACTCTCGTAGACTAGTGCAGCTACCTCTCCGTAGGTCATCCTTTTCCTGGCGCCGCCTGTTGTGTACCTTGCTCGTGCTGAATCGGCCATCCATCGCTCCCATCCCGCCCTCAGATTGTCTTTGAAGGGCTTGTTGATGCCGACGTCGAGAGGCTGTAGATATTCGGTCATTCCGCCTGGAATGACCGCGATCTTTGAGTGCTCCTTTAAATGCTCTCGGACGTCTTCTGTGAGATGGCACCTTAAAGAAGCAAGATAAGCTCAATAAATGATAAAATACGAAACGATGCCTTGCAGAATCTAATATGAGTAATGACTGCGAGGGATCGTTGACATAGCATTTCCGTTTGTTCCACACCTCATGGAGCCATGTCCTCATCAGTTCGTGATTCATCCAGCCTTTATCATTGGCTCTAACTACCACTTCAGGAGGGAAATTATCCTTGCGAATCCTCTTTTTCTTGAATATGATCATCGGTCTTAATTTCTCTCCAGCGGCCGTCACAGAGAGGACAACGGTAAAATTCGATTTTTCGTGTCCCGTTGAGTCAATCCTTACAGTATCGGCTCCCACTTGATCCACGGTCCTTGAATAAACCATATCGAAGGGCACTGGGACTTCATCGACATTCCCAAGATTGTGGGGGGAGATGTGAAGCGATTTCCTTTGTACGAATCTCCTGAAGTCCGTGCAGATGTTTTCATAATCCTCCGGAAGTGCTTGGCCGACACTGGTTTTTCGCCTCAGAGATAAGTTCTTTCTCTTCATAAAGCCTTTGCACCACATCGCCGATGCCCTGAAGTCCTGGTGGCCAGATTCCCGCGCTAGCTGCAATGCCTTCTCGCAAATGTCTTTGACAAGCACTGCTCGGCTTCCTTCTCGCGTCTGCACAATCCATGCATAGAGAGCTTCCTCTATTTCCTTCACCTTTGGCTTCCCATGACGGTTGGCACGTTGCCTCAGTGGCCTATCCTCTAAATTTTCTTTATCGGCCTTCCATCTTCTAACCAGACCATCAGAGACTTCGTAGCGAACAGCGGCAGCCGATATTCCATGTTGCAGGGCATATTCCACCTCGTTAAGCTTAAAAAGCGCGGTGTAGGACTTCCTTTTGGGAGCCATTGAGATCCGAGATAACTGAACAGCTTGAGTCACAGCGTGTGAGAGTATGTTGGAAATATAGGGCTCTGCGTGATTGCGAACTTCGCTGAGTTAGCGGTCATTGCTTATTGGAATCACGCGGAGTCCTATAAATTTGTGCTGATCATCGAAAGGTTTACTCTTTTACAAGAAAAAGCAGGCGGCGTCAAATTTGACTACACTATCTTTTGTCTTGGATGTACAGGCTTAATGAAACAACAGATGAGAAAAAGAACAAGGAAGCCTAATGCTTTGCTAAGGTTGAGCATTCTCAGGCTGTCACTCTTCCGTTCAAGAAAGCATTTGAAAGCCGTATGGCATGGGTCAACAGAGACTACGTTCAGAACATGAAAACAATAGAGGAAGCAAAAAGTATAGGAGTCAGGTTCAAGGGTTGTAGCCTCTACGGGTTCGAGAGATGTATTAGAAACATTGTAGCTTCCAAAACGATAAGATGAATGATAAGATGAGATGATTGCAATGATATAACGAGAAAACCTATTATGATTTTTCGGACAGAAAAATTCCATGTGTACACGCACTGTCTTATATAGGAAAAGAACCCACCAGCGTATGTGATGACCAATCCGCGACGAAACTGTCAGCAATTAGACTGCACGACTTGTCGAATCCTTTGGCGGTCTCTTTTAGGGGAGTTCACGGCTTGATTCCAATCGCTGAAACATGTGATATCCAGAACAACTTCTCTGTAGCGTTTTGCAAAACTACGAACCGTTTGTGTCTTTGTACTTCGTCACTTACTGCTTGGAACAGAGTATGCGCGACGATCAGCGTTCTAAAAAAGCTTTGTAGGAGATGCATGTACTGTAGTTAGCCTATATCATAAACATCCCCTGCCTAATATTCCTGAAAATGGGGTAAAATCCTACCTTACTATCGCGTCATCAATTCCAACACACAAGAAATGTTATATTTAAGAAAAGAACTCACCTATCCAGCGTATATGATGACAAATCCTCGGCGAAACTGTCAGCAACTAGTCTGCACGGCTTGTCGAATACTTTGGC